AAGACTGACAAAGGTTTATATTTTTTCCTATTTTCCTCATATCAATATTTTCAATTCTTCTCATACCTGACCAATTTTCATCACATGAATTTCTTAATTTTCTCTTTGTCATTTATTTCATAAGTTTGTAAAACTAATTTCCCCCATTGGCGCCTACACTGGCCTTACACTTGAGTATGGTGAGGCTGCCACCTTTGGCCCTCAATTGGGTTGTCACAGTAGTCTGTGGTAGTGCCCTGACAGCTCTCAGCAAACCCTGGCCCATGCCTTGACATTAACCTAGACACACTAGAGCTTGGCACAGCACTCCCACTGAGATGCTGAGGCCACAGCCCCTCCACACTGAGTCATCCCCTCTGTCTAGAAAGACCTTTCTAACACTCAACATGCTCATCCAACATGGAGGCTCTCTCTGATAGATCAACCAAGGTTTCAGTGGCCAAACCTGTTACAAAAATGGGGCCAGAGGCACCCATTTTCATCCATCCTTGGTGCAGGAAGATCAAAAGGGGATTTTATAGGTGGTTTTATATGAGATGTAACAAGTAGTTTCACAGTGGTGTTTTGGTTGATTATTGATTGGTTAACATTCAATATACAAAACACATGATAAGGGCTGTGCACAGAGCCCATAAGGTCTAGAATCTCCAAACTAATGGAATTGGAGGGCAGGGCACCACTCCTTGAGCAACTGAAGATCAATGTCACAATGTCAGCATCAATGGTACTGACATGCTTACCCATGAGGTTGGCACTGAGTATTGGATACCAGGAGAACCCCCTGGAAGATGTCAGTACCAGAGAAAGAGGGTGCATTTGGAGACCATACCCCACTCCACAGCCTCAGTCAACAGGTTGTGCCTTGGAGTGATAATTTTGCCTTTTCACTTTCAATGCTCTCACACATGCTGGTGGGCATATGCTGGTTGAGTTTGGTCCACACTGACAACAAGTACTGGGTCAGCCAAGTGAAGATGGTCCATGTTGTTTGCACAACATCTATAACATAAGCACATGTACTCTGGGCACTTTCCATCCAGTGCTGCATTGGGGTAAGCATGGGTTTGGCTATCTGCTGGTTCTAAAACAAAAGTCAATTATCAGAATGGAGAAATAGGATGTCAAGGCCCACTTGAGTATAGTAAGCAATTATATTTTCTATCTATTAATTACTAGAGACCTTTAACCCATGGGTTTAGTGGTCTCTAGCTCCTGCAGAGGGACTCAGGCCTCACCCAAACACCATGGAATGTGATTCTTGTTATATTGTCCTGCTTGTCTATGTAGTATTTGGGGGAAGAAAATAGGATATGCAGTGATCATTTATGCTGTTAGCTGTGAGTGGATATAAAGATAATGTAAGGCCAGTGTAGGTTCCAGCCTGGGTGACTCCTCAGTCCTCAAGTCAATTGAAAGCTGATACAGGTACTACTGTCATGCTGTCATGCCTTGACATCCAATGTCCCATAAAAGCACCTGGATGAGGCCAGGGGGCCTCTGGGTCCAAGGATGGGCCCTGAACCCATCTCTAACAGTGACATGATACCATAATCTCCTGTGTGCAAATCAAGTGCTATGAGCTCTCAGAGGAGGGGACCTGAGCTTCATGAGCTCTCAGACCTCATTGTACAGATTTGCTGATGTGCATTTACAAGACCTCCATAAGCAATGAGTTATGCAGGGGTGCAAGGGCTGGCCCCTTGGTGCATAAGTGATCACCATATATCTTATTATTTATTATCTGTAAGGAATGGGTAGTGGCTTTACTTTATTTTTTGTTATTCCTTGTTGTACCCCTGTATTTACTTATGTATTGCCCAGGGTTGAGTGAAGGGAACTTCACTCTACTCCCTCATCATGTCTAAATACTAAGTTCTATACAACCTCCATATTAGTGCTATATCTATATCATTACCCTACCCTTATCTTGCCCCTTGTTCTGCAGTTCTGCTACTTTCCATTTGCTATGCTTAGTCCCTACTTATACTGCCATGTCAGTATCATGTTACCATTAGCTCCCCTGTCACCCCAGTGTCTTGTTGAGCACCTCTGCATGCAGCCTGATGCAGCCTGAGCAGAAGGGCTAAAAAGGCCTGCATGTTAACATAGCAACTTATAAGAGAGGGTCCAAGTTACACAACTAACCATGATCCTTCTAGAAAGGGGGGCATGAGGGGGAAAGGTAACCATCCCCTTCAAAATCCACTTTTGTTCTAGACCCTGCTTCTTGAGCCTCCTTGAGGGTACAATGGCCTGTTATTAGTTTGGCCCACAACATGGCAGGGTTGAAAAAAACCAGAGACCCTCAACCTGTGCCTATGTTTGTGAATGACCCAGTGTTCAGCCCTGTTGGCACCTTGAAGTTTTGAGTCATCACAAAATGCAGGTCAAATTCTGATTAAAGGCTCAACAGGCTTAGCTCACAGGTTATAACCCAACCATATACCCTTTCAATCCACATTAAAATGGGTGATGAGTGCTGAAGGAAACAGCACAAAGGACTTGAGCAGTATTTCCAAGATGACCCTTCCATGTTCACTAGCCACACATGCTCTCCATGGGCAAAGAACCCTGAAACATGCCTGAGATAAAACTTCCAAGGAGAAAGGTCAGAATGCACTGTAAATGTAAACAGCACAAATTCCTTGGTCTTTGTGAGGTATGGTATAAACATGAAAGGGAGGGACTCCCTTGAGTGGTGCATTGATTGCCACACTGAAAAACAATGATGCAACTGTTTGGGCTGGAGACTGTTGATGGCCTTGCCAAAATTGCTGGACTTCAGTATACTTGCAAAACACACCAGGGTAGTTTGTACCTTTGAACAATTTCCATGAGGTGGGCACTGGGTCAAGAGTGTTACTAGTAGCCCAATAGTTGCTTTGCTCCCCTACCTAAGGCCCTGAAATTCCTCTGAGTTACTTTTTGCAGCAGGCTGGTTCCACTTGTGGTATGCAGTCAGAAATGGGTACTTGGCAGCACTACTCAGCAGAGAAGTCTCCTGAGGGGGTGCTGCACCTCATTGTTGTTGCCATTTTCACTGTTGTATCCTAATTGTATGGTGCTGAACTGGCCCCAGCATTGGTCTTCATCAGAAACATGGGTAGAGATGCCAAAAAGTGCATTGGTTTGATGAAGAAGGGCCATTTGAAACCTATCTGTGGTAGTAAAGGCCAGGGGGTACATCCTTAACATCAACAACTGCTGTTCCCTGTCTAGGATAAGGGTAGGGCCCTTCAGGTTCAGACTAGAGGAAAGTGTCAGAGCCTTCAAAATTGCTATATGGATATAAATTCACTCATAGGGCATGAATTGAAATTGGCTTAGCACTTTAGAGTAGTGGGTTCCAAGGTTTTGGATTGATACCATCAATTTCTTCTTCCTTGGCCCAGAAAGACCACTTGCTGCTGTATCATGGTGTGAGAGCTGAGCAAGGCTATAAGGGTTGTTGTGTCTGCATGCTGCCTCTGCTCAAGGGCAGCATGCAACCATCTTCTATGTTTTCATCCTGATGGAGCTCATCATAGGCCCTTTTCTTCATGTTTCTTTCTTTTAGACAAGCTTTTCCTTTTCCCCTTCTTCAAACTTCCCTTCTCACCAGCTTCTGAAGGTGTCAACATGGCCTCTTCTGCTGAAAGGCTCCTAAGCAGGGGTTATGTGTGTCATAGGCCATCTGTAAGGTGGGTGTCCTAGAACCCAGCTGTGAGTATCAAATATGTATGATTCACAGTGGGCAGGATGGTAGTGACCTCCCTGGGTCACATTGTAAGTGTGCTAGGGATATAACCCAGAAGAAAACAGGAAAAGAATGGGGGCAAAAACAATCTCACTACCAGTAAGGCTGCACCCTGTCCCAGTGCAAGAGCATGATACTAATAAACTTAGTACTCACCCCTGGTCCTTCTTGGACAGTCATCAGGGAGTCAAACTGAAGTTCTTTAGTGTATGGAGGGATCACTCAACACCACAGTCTTTGTAGCACAGAAGAGGGGTCCAACAACTGTAAGTCCAATGTAAACTGAGTGTATATGTATATAGAAAAAGGATAAATCAGAATGAAAATAGCTGATAGATGGTGGCAATGGAAACAGGAAGAATGTTAACAGCTCAGCTAGAGAACAATAAGGCAAAAAGGTAGACCACAAGGTGACAATAAATGAGCCCATGAAGTCAATATTGTCAGGGTTCAGCACCCTGCCCTAGGGTGCCCCAGACTCCCCAACCAATCCCTTCCTTCCATTCCTTCATTGTTGCCTTGTTGTTGCCTTTCTGTGTTGTGTATCCACATGCACGGGATAGCGTGGGAACTTTCTGAGCGAGCAGCTCACCCAGAATGTTCCCATGGGTCACAGCCACAGTTCTGGGCAAGCAACTCACCCAGAACGTTCCCACGCTTACTGGGCACTGCCACCTGGATGTTCCCTCTGGGTCACACTACACAACTCTAGTAGCTGTATAGTTGTGGGCATGTGACCCATTCCTTTATATAGCAACCATGCGGGGAGATGAGACCTTTACCCTTCTTCTCATCTCATGCCCTGCATAGTGTGAGGACAGGCCAGATGGGGGTTGAGGTCAGGGAGCCTCCGAGTCCGAGGCCGGGCCCTGACAAATATTGACCATCAATCTCACTTCTCCACCACGTGCCCGTCATTTTAACTCCTGTCCCATCATTCCATCCTCTTCTCCTGATCCTTTGCTGTCCATCAAGTTCAAATTCGTGTGAATCAGTGGGAATTTGGTGGAGATATGGTGAAAATGGTGGATTACCATGAAATTTGGGGAAGTGGCAACATGAGTTTTGAGAAAAAAAAAATTAAAAAAAATGTGGAAGTTTGTCATGGGCATTGGGACTGTGTTGGAGGCTTGAGTGTGCTTGTTGGAGCCTTGAAAAATGCAATTTTGGCCTTGTTTGTATAGTACTTGCTGTGCCCTCCTACCACATGACCCCTTATATACATGGACTGTGACCTGACACCATTGTACCATGACCAGTAACCTTACCTCTGGGTCTGAGAGGGCATGAGACTTGAGGATGGAAAGGAGTCTTCTTCCCTGTAAGGCACTTTTTTGAAACAGCTTAAACCCTTTAGCCTTGAGCTTACATTAGGTCAAGCATCAAAGGAGGAAAAACACCCTTGTCTCCTTCCATGTAGCCCATCAAGACATCGCCCTCCACAGTAGGACAAACAGATTCATTGCTGGTATGTATCTGAGGGGAGTGAGGAAAGTGAGGAGACCAAGCTGGCTCAAGAGCCAGGTGGTTCAAGACCTGAGGTGGCACCAGGGCTGCTGGTAGAAAGTGCAGCAAAGTGTCTAAGGTGTAATACTGAGCCCCAAACTGAGGCTGATATGCCTAGTACATTAACCTAAGGGAATAAACCATCACTGGCTACAATAGAGGGCATGGAAACACACAACAGCAGATTGGAGCAGGGCCAGCACCCCTCTTGTCAGGGGCATGAGAATCCCCTATGGAGTTAGGAAGAAGGAAAGGCTTCACTGAGATGGCAGGCTGGGTGATCTCTAGTGGCACAGGTAGCCTGATGGAAGATGTGTTGGCTGGCTCCAAAGATAACAAGCTTATCTACTAAGGAAGCACTGCTTGGCTGCCATCTGAAAAGTTACAAATCCACTGCATCACATGATGCCCATTGCAATGTGTTGCAGTGCATTTCAATGCCTTAGCTCACTGTTACAATGGGTGTATCAAATGTCATTTCATGGTGTATGACATTGTAAATGACCCCATATTTGTGTAGCAACAAAATAAATGTATTTTTCAAAACTCTAGGCAGGATACCAGCTGTCAGAGACCAGATTGAGACGAAGGAATGTCTCTGTGGCAGAGGGCTTTGGCCTCAGCGACTTATGCCAGGAGTGCTGTGCCAAGTTACACATCTGTGCCCTAACTTACTTACTGGCAACGAGAACTAAAGGGGGTCAACTCTAGTTGATTTTATTACTGAGGTGTAACCTATGTACAAGTTGAGTATATATAGTTACAACGAGGGCAGGCCTGTAAATGGTGGGGCTGAGCAGAGTGGAGCTAATGGAGTTAAACATTAGCCAATTGAATATTACCGACAAGTCGGGTTATGGGGTTAGCGGAATGGTAGGCGATAACCCAGAAACAGAAAGGAGGGATAGGCCCAAAGGTGGGCTTGCAGGGCAAGCGAGTGAATTGCCCAGCAGAGGCAGGAGTGTGCTAGTGGATGCTGCTGTCCGGAAGCCTTCGGGGCTCCATACTTAGGGAGGCATAGGTAATATATTGAAAAGAGGGGGGGGTGGTGACCATTGAGGGAAGCGGAGGTGATTGCGGAATACGGGAGCTCCAAGGTTAGTGAAGAAGGAGCGGAGGTAGTCTGGAGAGTTTGGAGGTAGTGGAAGTCGATGGCCATGTATGGATATGACACCAGCCCATTTTCCAATTTGGTTCCACACTCACTGAAGGCTCAACAAAAAGGTAATGCATATCTTGGCAACCAGCCACTAATGGTTTGCTGCAGAATGTTTGTACAATTATTCCCCTGAGACCTTTTTGAGCAATAACCAAAATTGCTATTTTTGGTGGGTTTAGGTTTTTCACCTTTATATATCATTTACATGTTCACCATGATAATGGAATAAATTGGGTCCAGTAATCTCAGGCAGATTGGGGTAAAAGTTAGACATCCAAAAAGTTGGGTCTCTTAGTTGCCAAGTATGTAGTACTTTTTGTTGAGCCTTGTTTTCAAGCAAGTGTGGAACCAAATTAGACCATGTGACCACAATACCAAAAACAGCACAAAGTGCAGGGTGGTTGGAGGTGTCAGAGGTATTGGAGGTTGTAAAGATAAACAGATATAATACTCATGTGTGATTGTTATCTGCCCAAGCATCCCAGTGAGAGACTCTTCTGTGAGGCCCCTAAGCTTTGGATTGCCTTGGATAGACTTCAAGACCCATGGAATCCAGCATGGTACTTGTTCCCATTGCCATGCTTGGGAAATCAATGATGGTGTATTCTGTTAGATCGGGCAGATTCAGATGATTCCGGAACAGAATTGGAGACTTAGCATGGAAGGACCCCGGCCCCAGCGACCCAGGTGGAGCACTGTGCCAGTGCTGGTTGCCCCAGGGGCCCCCAAGGGGAAGTCTCTTAGGGGGGAAATCAAGTCAATTTCGGACTGAGGTTACAAGTTACTAGAGGTACATTGTATATAAAGGAGGAGTCCAGAATCAAAAGGAGCAAGGGTAGTCTGGAAGGAGACAAAGGGAGCTGGAAGGAGGAACAACACTGAGGGTCAAGGGTTTGACTCAATGGTGTTTCCCAAGGGAGGAGTGAAGGGCCAAGGCCCAAGGGGGAAGAAGGAGGATGGGAGTCAGGAATGGCTAGCTGACTGAATAGAAGGAAGCAGCAGCCCAAATAGGAATGAGGGAGAATACCAGAATTGAAATGGGACAATGCAATAGTTGCAAGGTCTGAAGTCAGTCCAGAAAGTCCGAACTTGGAAGTCAAACTCCAGAATATTGGTAAAGGTAAATAAATGGAATTGGCTAACCAATACAATGGGTATAAGCAGAGGTGGGGTCAAAGTCCGAGGTCAGAGCTAAGACCAGAGTTCCGAGTTGGAGATGCAAACAGGATCCAGAGTGGAGGTCCAGAGTTGGGAGCATAGTTGCATACTCGTCTGGAAGGTGTTGAGGTTGAGGTCGGACCAAAGGTGGTGTTGGAGCCAGAGGTGGGATAACCTCTTGGGAGTCGGCAAGGAGAAGGTGATGGAAGGGAAGTGGGGCTCTGGAGTCAGTTTTGGAGTTCCAGGAGCCTGGAGTGGAGGTCAGGATTGTATGGATATGACATATTCACTGATTGCTTGCATGAAGCAACTTGTGGGTTGTTCTTTTCAATTCACATAGATGTCACCCATCTTAACCACATGTTATAGCTCTTATTGGGCTATGGTTTGCAGTGTACTTGTTGCTGCCTCATGGCAGTCAGGGCTTGTGTGTTAGTTTGTGCTGAGTACTCAGCACACATTGGGTTTATATACATCTGCATCCACTAGAGACCAGTAGATCAGGCAACCAAACAAAAAACTGAAAGAATCAAGATCCAGAGGTACAGATCAAAAAGGGACCAAGATTGTGTGGGTGTAGGAAGGTTGAAGAATCAACAAGTTAGAGTAATTAATGGACATGTGGCCACATGTGGCAAAGTGGGGACTTTTAACTCATATATGTACTAATTGTGCCAGGTGACCATTTCTCACTCTCTGATTGGCTGTTATGACCTTCCATACATGGAAATTTCCTTATAGGGTAGGTTCCCAATTGGGTAATTTCCATGTTTGGAAGGTACCATATATAAGGAAATTTCCTTGTATGGAAGGTACAGTCATCCATATATTATGACTGTTACAGCCTCCCATGTGCTTGTTATCTTGCTTTGTTAAAAGCTTTTGACACTGCAAGCAGGCTAGGAATCTAACCCCCTAAATGCAAGCAAATTTGTGGGGAGTCCACTATGTCCTAAGTTGGTCCTGGGTTTGGTCCAGGTGCTAACAAAAACAAAACAATCACAAAAACTCAAGAAATTATGTGCCCCTGGTCCTTGGACAATTGTCAGGGATTCCTTATAAAACTCAAGGAGTCAAGCTTAGAATTCCTTTTGTAGGTGGATCTCTCAGTACTACTGTCTCTCTGTAGCTGAAAGGGAGGTCTCTTATCCATTCCTACATGTACAGGGTCCATAAACACAAGGAATAGTGTAAGCAGGCTAGAAACCTAACCCCTAAATGCAAGCAAATTCATGGGGAGGGAGTCTACTGTGTCCTAAGTTCCTCCTAGGCTCAGTCTGGGTGCTAACAAAAACAAAAATATCTTTAAGAATTACATACCTGAAGGGTGTCTTACTTGTTTGGGGACAGTATGTTCCATTCCCCCATTTGCCTCAGGCCTCAGTTGGTCCATCTAAGTATACGCTTTTAGTTGCTGTATATTGACGGGGTAGAAGTAAAGGCTGGTCTGCCTTTTACAGCTACCCCGAGGGTTTATATACATTCTAATACATTCTCGGCACAAATAAATAGAGAAGCTTCTGCAACGCTAAATTAGTGTTGTGACATAATTATCAGACAACACAACATCAATTGATGTTGTGGGCAGAATATAGACATGGGCCGGGGCCTCACATCCTCCTCCCTTGCGATATTAAATCACAGACAGGGTACAAGCATATACAAGGGGAAAACAAGCATTTTAAATTTGACCTTCTACATATGAAGAATGTATGCAAATGGGGGCACACTCATTACAGGAGGCTATAATAGTAGTTTGTAGGCGAAGCCCACTTAGAGTTTCTCCTGGAACATATGCACCCAGATCTCGACGACAGAGTTGTCGATGATGAAGCGACTTTCTCGTCACTGTGAGTTCAGGGAAACACTGTTGAGAATAAGTCATTAAATACCATCATCGATAGTGACGATGTTGAAAGTTGAGGTCATCGATGGTGTTGTGGGGACAACTCCATGTACCGCAAAAAGTCGGATTCTGCAGAATTTGGCCACAAACACCCACTACATACCCGCTGACACTCCCGATGCTCATTCTATCACTATCCAACACTCCATACACTCATTCCTTATTTTTCCTTATTTTCCCCATCATTCCCGACAACCCCAAGCAAAATTCCCATGCCCAACCACGCCGCCAATTTCACCCCCTCCCCACACCTCAAGAACTACTGCACCAAATGGGATGAATAGGGGCTCGTTGGAAAGCTGGAGACGAGGAGGTTGCTGACGGGAGGATAGGCGGGCGCTGTGGCGAAGTGTTGTGGAGTTAACTTTCACAATTCCCATTTCGGACCTGTTATCATATATTCCCCATTCATTCATATTTCTTTTATTGTTTCTTTGTTCCCAATTGGATATTCATCATTTACGGTTGCCTAACGGCCCGTTTACATTCCCCCATTCCATTCATTCCATTTCCAACTCATATAAAATAGATAACAGCTTGTACATAACAAGTTAGTACTGAATAGACCCGTGAAGGGACAAGCAGAAGTTACATCCAAGTGGCAAAGATGCCATCCACAACCCTAACACCCCCTCTGAGTTAGTTGCTTACATCTAAGACCCCTCTTATCAGAATCCTCAGCCTTGACGTCCAAGAGAGACGTAGGTGAGTGTTTGTTTGAGGTTCTAGCAGACCCGGTAGCGCCCCAGGACCAAAACCCGGCCCCATGAACTACACCCATGCACACTACCACCCTCCCCCTTCTCTCTGTCTCGAGTCTAGGCGATAGACCCGTTACAATGGCAGAATTGTTGTCAATGAAGAGGAAAGTGAATAATCAATGACGACATTGTCATTGATGAAGGAGGAAAGGTACAAAGTAGATAATCAATGACAGCATTGTCGTTGACGAAGGTAAGAAGTTATTAATCAACGATGGCCTTGTTGTTGACGAAGGT